CCCCACCACCAACCCCCCAGGTATGTTTATACGGGCGTCCGATGTCACATAGGTATAGTTTGTTGCGCGTGTATGCGCGCGAAAAGTAAACGAACGAATAAATCTGTGGCCTGGTGCAAGAACAAGGGCCAATGTCGATTTGTCGAACAAATCAGTTCGAAATAAAAAAAAAATAAAAAAATAAAAAGCGTGAGATTTTTTTACTGTATAAACAAAAATTGAACATTTTACAAACATTTACATTTAATACAATACACAGAGCCTATTATGGGGGATTAAAATTTCAAAGACCGTTTCTTAACAATCGCAAAATGTGACGTTACCCCCCCCCCCTCTTCTTACACCAAACTACAGAAATATACTGTGCAAACAGTGGCCGATCTATAGGTATAGCGTGTCCGTCCGTTTTTCTTTAACGTCGTTTTTGATTTTTCCCGATTATTACGAAAACTACTGGGAAAATTAAAAAAAAAAAAAAAAATATTACTTACTTCGTGAGCAACTATAGATCCAAAATGCAGCAGAAAAGTTCTCTTGCGGTTTTTTTTCACGAAATCAAGATTTCCGGTAAAAAGCATACTTCGCGAACATCGAACATAATGAAATCGGTAATGCCGCCGCGCCCGGTAAATATTTCTCTGGTTTTCCTATGCGTTTTTTCCCGGTCTTCCCATTATTTTTAAACCCCGTTAAAAAATCAAAAAATGACCTCCTCAATGCACCGACTAGATGAAATTTCCTTTCAAATAGGTTACACGCTTGGCACATCGGAGCAAGATTTTTGGTGGACAATTTTCTCTCCGACACGAAAAAATACAAAAACACACCTTATTGTAAAACCAATAGATCGCTAAGCCCTGAAAATCAAAAGGTGATTATGCGATAAATCGATTACGTACGAGGATTTTGTTGGCGTGATAAAACCTCGGTGCGATTTATTTATCATCGTTTACCGTACCCGATTAATTTTTTAACAGAATATTTACACTGGAAATAGCCGAAACCGAATACATTTTATTTCGCAATACTTTTTCGATTTGATTGGCCCCGTATATAAAAACGAAGATTAATATTGGAATTTAAAAGGCAAAATAATAAAATACCCTTTAACTGCGATGGTGAAAACCTTACGTTTATGGAGATTGAAGTGGTAAAAAGTTTGTTTTCAAAACAATGCTTTGTTTTTTTTTTTTTTTTGGGGGGGGGAAGGGGGCGAGTTTCTGTCATTTTAAATATTATGTATCGTATCTTTGTGTATAACCTGCGATTTTATCTACGGCAAATTGTATACAAGCATTTCAACCGACCCCCCCCCCTAGGAGAAAAAATCCTGTTCTTTTAGACTTGTGAATTGAATATAAAACCGACGTCATTACTAAAGCTTCGGCGTTACTTTATTCGGAATGAAATGTCAGCGCCTATACGTTTAACATATTATAACGCTACGTTTTCAAGGACCGTAGTGGCCATACGTTTCGCGTTGCTAACAAGTCTCCCTAAACTTACTATCCGTTCAATTATTTCTGCATCATGTATACTATGTGGTTTTAACTAAACCCTGGGGGGGGGGGAAATTGTCGCATAACGATGATTAAATTTACCCGTTTTAACACAAACTCACGACGCGACGCGTAAATTAACGTTTTCGTCTCGAATTCGCAATCGTTGGTTCGCGAAAGAACAACGATAATATTGTGTCATCGCTTTAGATTCCGTGCTGAACAAATAATATTGTACCTTAGGTTTTACTATTATACGATTTAAGTGGCGCGTATGTTTTTATTTTCTGACCGTGAACAAGTTTTCGGCCAGAGAACTTCGTCGAAAACTCCGCGGCAGCTGTACAGTACACATCTTGTAGAATTTTGGATCAAGTCAATAAAACATGGAAAATCGGTAAAAATGTCCGAAAAACGAGAATTTTTTCTATGTCGGTTTTAAAAATTGATATTTATATACTTTCATAAAAATTACCATACGGGGCTGGAATTTTCACCAAATGCGTAAGTTAAAATTTCGTAGAATTGGTTGAAAATATTGAAGATTTGTTCATGCGCGATTTCACAATTGTATAAATGTTCGGAGTTTACAGTTATACGAATTTTTTCGTAGATAGTTGAAATTAAGGGAAACATTTTTAATCGATTTCAGCGGCGGACGCAAGACAAGAGAACGGGGGAGGGGCGATTTTGAAAGTTTATATAATGTACACGTTATATTAATAACGGAAATCAAGGCAAGAGTAAAATTGGGAGCAAACTAGATGGTGAGGGGGGTGGGGTGATCGCTACTTTGAATCCGCTAATGTCCATGCTCGGTAATATTCCGGAAACATTTTTAAAACACAGTCAAACAATAATAGTTGCGGCACTAAAACAGCACAAACGAAAATCGCAACAAATACGTTTTACATTCGAACTGATCGCAAACAATTAAACCGACAACCGTACAGTTCAAATACCGTTTACGAGAACGGAAACGCTAAAACCACGACGGGTGACCACCAGATACGAAATCGAATCATCGTCATTGTCGATGTCGGTACAGTACACCGATGCGCAAGTTTGGAATGATGGAACGTTTTTCGATTCCGTCCGTGGGTTGCAGACGGTCAATAATGCAGAGACGAGACGTTCTCCGACGTTTTCGAGTGCGTATTCAAACATCAAACAAATTACCATGTTATAATTCGTGTAATAATATTATACAACAATATTGTCCCGTATAAATACGCCGCGGAGGACAAAGAAAATTTGATTACGTTTTGTAAACGAAAAAGTTAAATGGAAATCGTCGTTTGTGCCGCCCTGATGGAATTGTAAATTTGGAAGTTCTGTTATAATTTTTTTCGTCATTTATTCGTGTTGTGTTTTGAGCCTTGGGCATTATCCGATAGAGCAGACGTCTATTCAGAATATTCAAAATTACGTCGGACAAATTGATTTTTATATTATTATTACATAACTCAATACCATACTATATCCGCGACGTTAATATTAATATTATTTCGTTACCCTGAAAGTAAATTAAAATATAAATTTAAAAAGAAAAAACTAGAAAAATAATAGGTAATACAAAACCTTTAAGCGTTGAAATATTATATTTTCGGAACGGCAGATAATATAATATTATAATACAAGCGTAGCCTTTTTTATTTTTATTGAATCTCAGTTACCGCGACGGCCATATTGTAAATTTAAAATAAAATCAAATTTCGAAAATCATTTTGATATACATGAATACAAAATAAATTGGATAAA